CAGTCACATTTATCATCTAGATGGTGTCAATAGCACCTTACTCTCAAGATGCTTCCTCTTTGAAAATAGTTCCCACTGTGGGGACATTAGGCAGAGAGTACATTCCAAGGGCAAGGGAGGGGGTGAGGAGCCTCTGATTGCCAGGGTCCAGCTGATGGGTCAATTGGCAGTCACGTCCTCTCGATGACCTCCTCCAACACTAAGGTTCAATTTTATTGCTATAGCTGTACCTCATCCATTGCTTCCGATTATAGGACCCCATGGGTGTCTTCCACATTTTACCTATCTATTTCCTAGTGATGAACACTCAGATTGGAACTCCCCCCTCCATAAATAGTGCTGGGGTGAATATAATTTTGGAAATGTAAAATTTTCTTGGGACCTATACCCAGAACAGAATTTGTGCTTCACATGTTTAATTTGACTAATTATTAACACATGGCTCTAGTGGCTGCACCAGTCTACATCCATAAGCAGGGCATGCAGTTCCTATAACCCCCATCCAACCTTCACTATTTTCCAGCGTTCTCTTTTTCCCAGGCTGATAGATATAACACTTTATCACATTGCAATGTGTATTTCTCTATTTCCTAATAGAATCAACATGTTTACAATGTTGTTATCTCACCCAAAAATATAGAATGTCTCCCCATTTGTTCAGATCATCCCCTAATTTATTTAATCATTTATCTATTGGATATTTCGGTTGTTCCCAAGGATAAGAGAAAGAGAAAAAGGGAGACCCAAGCTGTTGAGAAAGCCCACAAACCGGCATGAAGGGAGGAGGAGGAGATGGATGGATGCTCTGGTGACCGCCATCCCCTGCTTACTTTTGCAGGATCTAGTATGTCTTTAACAATCCAATGCTTAGAGAATATTATCTAAAGATGGGGCGGGATTGGGAGAGGAGCAAAAGGAGGATATTCAATGAAGCTTACTGTTTAATTTTTCATGGGCAATGATGGCTTAAAAAAATAACCTGTAGATGAATTCTTTCCTTTTTCGAGACCCACAATATTTAATATATTATTTCAAATTGCAAATAGCTGGGATGGAATGGGAGCGCAAGGGGGGAAGGTGAGAGAACAGGGTACAGTGATGGCAGAGACTAACCAGCTTCCTGCCCAGGATGTCTCGCCCTTGGTTTGGAAGGCTCATAGCCCTCTTTCTCACTGGATTAGGGCATTTCCTCTTGCAGAACATGGAGCCCTCCTTCAGCTCATTTAACTAATGGAGTCCAGCACATGCTTCTGCTATTTTTTGATAAAATTAAGATTAGGGAAGGATTTTACATAAAATCATTTGGCTGAGACTGGCCAACCCCAGTCTAACAGAATCCCAATATCTAGGGTGGGACAGATGAATCTGTTTTGTATAAAATCCCTCAGATGACTTTGGTGATAAACCATTATTTGGGAGCCACACTAGGCTGGCCCATTCCTCTGCCACCTTCAGGCTAATTCCCCCCATGTTTAGACATTCTAACTCTTACCGTATCAGGCAGTTGATTCCAGCTCAACACCCTGCACCCCCCGTCATGACTTGCTTAAAACTAATCACATCTTCCTTTGCTGCACTTCAAGTTAATTTTCTCTGCAACATTCAGAGCAGACAGAAAGCAATGTCAGGCACCCCTCTTGCATCCTAGACTAATATACAAAAACATTAAAATGCCATTTATGTCATACTTTTATAAACTTGAAAATTGTAAATGGCACTTATTGAGGATTAGGCAAGTAGGAATGATATGACAGCTCTCAGTCTTGAAATTTTACAGATAATGCCTGTGTTTGGTTCAGTTAACAGTGATGGCTGCAGGCACAGGGGAAAGGTATAATTTGCTCCCACGTTGTGGGAGTTGCAGTTCATGCAGAGAGTTCTCTGTGATGGAGGCCAGTCAGATTTTTATGGACTTCAATGCTATTTGCTTCAGTACACTTTGAAATGCAGGGTCAGCTTGCTGAGCTACAACATGCAATAATAACACATTTTTATAGGAGTAGCTTGTCAGAGCAGCAACAACATGCGATACATAAAACCAATAAACACACCATGTCTACAGATTCTATCCTAGTAACCAGGATAAAGCAATAAAATTGACAGCAGCCATCAAAAAGCTCCCTTTCTGACTTTGTAAGGTGAATTTACTGGTGTTTAAAGCAGCAGAGCTGTCACAAGTCTTAGATCAGCGTGTAGTTATAGAGCAGCAAGTTGCATCGTGTGGAAGGGACGCATGCCTGGTAAATGCAAGCAGGATGGGCAGTTAGTTATGTTTTGCTGGGGCTTGGGACCCTCTGGTCCTCGATGTGATGTGATCCACATCAAAGATATTCTACAGAATGCTTTGGCGTTTTCCAAGTGACACATTAAATATTATGGAGGACAGTGTGGCTATGAGGTCAACAATTAATATTTCCTGTCTACAGCTTAAATCCTTAAGGCAGGAAGTGCTTAAATTTGCTAGAATACACAGGGAACTCAATGGGTTGGTGCTGTCTTAGACTGAATTCTTAGAGTGTGGACTTCCATACTCTGTGATATGAAGGAAGGGAAGGGAAGGG